AGATAAACTATCCACTATATGCAATAATTTTCCAAGTCCTGTTAATTCCACCTCCACAAATTCTCTTACATCTGTCCTCTCCTCTCTACTTGCACTGCCATCATTGCGATTTAGGCTCTCATTACTGTTCCCTTATACTGTTGTAATAGTGTCCTAGCTGATCTCTCTACTACCATTCTCTCTGCTGTCAAATCCATGCCTCCTACAATTGTCAAAGCAATAGTGCACAGGTGTCACCGTATCACTCCTCCAGTTTGAAGTTTTTGGTGTCTCCCCGTCACACACTGGATAAAAATAGTCTTCTTACCTTGGCAATTAAGGCCCTCAACAATCTGTCTCCAAGTTACTTTTCCAGTCTTTTTCATAAATTCTACATTCCACTTAAACCAGACCAGTATTATCTAATCTTGTCTTACTTTTTCCTACTTCTGTATAGTCCCAGAATTTCTAAGTTGTAAGGAACTTCAGAGGTCTGCTTGTCCTACTCACATCTGAATAAGAGTCTTTTCTATTACATCCCTGGTAAGTGGTCCACTGGCTTCTGCTCAAATATCTTCAAGAATGGAGACTCCACTACCACATCTTTCAAAAGAAACAGGATAGGTAAAAGGGTATCACTGCTGATTAAGAAAATATGCTTATGAGGAAATCAAGGGATAGAGTAGGGATAGGAAGGTCTCAAGACCAAAATGACAATAATACAGAGAAACAATTCTGATGAGGAATAAAAATGGAGTTGATTAAAGAGATTGGTGTGAGTATACAGGTAACTCTTTGCCAGAGTTTTAAAGAGGCATGTACAGAATATAAAAGCCAAGACTAGGTAAAGGAGAATGAATACAGAACCTTGGCACAATCCCATAGGAGTAGTGGCAACCGTGCTGAAGTTTAAAGTGAACTGACAGGTAAAAGGGAAACTAAAGACAAGAAAGTGGGGAATATGTTGGATTAGGAAAAAGAGAAGGATCACAGAAGGAGCTGGATTTCAAAGGAGGCAGAGTTTACTTCTTTTTTTTTTTCTGGCAAAGAGAAGGGTCTTCCACCTGGAAAACACACACACACACACACACACACACACACACACACACACACACATATGGATAACATGAAGATGCTATCTAAGATTAGTAGATAGAAGTAAGAAAGTACCTATCTTGATGCCCTTCGTGAGTTAAAGTCACTACACCAAGATGAACTATTTATTCCCCAGGGTTCTGAAAAGACCTGGAATGTGCTTTCTGAGCCACAGTCTTTGAATGATCTTAAAAGATTATTCAAATAGGAGAGCTTCAGGACTGGAAAAGGGCAAATGTTGACCCAATTTCCAAAAAAAGGAGAGAATGGATTCTGAAAACTATAGGTCAGTAATATGGGCTTTGATTCCTTCAATAATATATTATTAAAGGTATGTTTAATGAACATCTATAAAAGAACCAACATGATCTCATCAAGAACAGGTCATCCTAAATTCATTTTCTTTTCTGACAGGGTTTCTAGACTGGTAAATCAGAGGAATTTGCTATTATGGGCAATGTGACCTAGTTAGGTGGATTAAGAACATGGAAAATGTCTGAATCTAAAAGAGATTCAATTTCAATTGGGAAAGGAATCTCTAGTGAAGTGCTCCAGAGATACGTGCTTGGCTCTGTGCTGTTTAACATTTTTTAACAATGTCTATGTCAGAGAGTATAGATGCCATACTTATCAATTGTGTGAATAACCAAGAACTAGAAGGAATGCATAACATGTCAGATGAGAGATTGGAGGATCTGAAAAGATCCTGACAGGCTAGCACATTGAGTTAAATCAAACATAATGAAACAATATGGAAACACGTAAAGCTTTCCACTAGAGTTAAAAAAAAATGAACTTCACTAATAAAAGATGAAGGAATTGTGGCTAGATGGCGATTTATCTGAAAAAAAGATTTGGTAATTTTGTTGGTGTGCAAACTCAGTATGAGTTAATAGTAAGCTATGGCAGCCAATAATGCTAATGTAGTTTTAGATTAAATGAAGAGAAGTATGGTGTCCAGGGCCAAGATAGTGATTTGGCCAGACCACATTTGAAGTATTATGTCCAATTTGAAGCACTATAGTTTAGAAAAGATAATGATAAGCTGAAGAGTATCTGAAGGAGATAAACCAAGTTGTAAAGGGTTTTGACATTGTGCTATAAGAGAATCAGTTGAAGGAATTGGAGATTCTTAGCATGGAAATGAAATTATTTAGTTGTATGTGTGATAGCTGTCTTCATATATTTAAAGATTGTCATGTGGGAGAGATAGAAATTTTGTTCTACTTGTTCCAGATGGAGGAACTAGAAGGATAGGTGCAAGTTACAAAAAGGCAGAATCAGACTTGAGGTAAGGCTTCCTAATCATTCTTATCTCAGAGTAGAAGCTTGGGAGGTAATGATTACCCCTTAATTAAAGTCTTTAAATGAAGGCTAGATGACAATTTGTCTGGTATGTTGTTATTGTACAGGAATGGGTTAGACCAGGTGGCATCAGTGCTCTCTTCTGACTCAGAGAATCAGTGATTCTGTGACCTGGCACTCACACTATTCAATTTAATCTTAATAGATTCAGTCCATCCCTCTAAATTGTCAACATCTTTGGATCCCAGCTCTGGGGCCTTGGAGCCTGACTGTAATCCAGTGTGTTTAAGTATCCCTCCCAGTGTTGTATTATATGAAAATTTGATAAACATGCCTTTTATACCTATAATTGTGTCAATTTTGAAAATATTGAACAGTATAAGACCAAAGATGTGTCCCTCCACTCCACAAAGATATTTTACTTTAGACTGATGACCATCCATTAGTCACTACTCTTTGGAACAGCGCCGAGCCCAATGACTCACACGTATAGATGCTTAATAATTTCTTGATTAATTCATTGGGTCCTTTTTGACTGGAATGCTCTCCTTCCATATTTCCACCCGTTAAATACTTCTCTTCTTTCAAGGCCTAGTTCATGTGACCTCCACCCTTCTACTCACTGCCTCCATAAAGCTATAGCTGATCTCTCTATATGAAAGTCATCTCCTTCTCCCTAAATATTCTATAGTCTCTTTTATACACCCTTTCTTTGCTTTTGCCACATTCTGCTTTTCATTAAACTCATTTGTATATGTCTTATACTCTCTAATAATAGACTTTATACTCCTTAAATGTAGAGACTACATTACTTTTCATTTATCTATCCCTAGTACTTAGCACAGGACCTTACACATATTAGGCCTACACATTTTTAGACACTAAATTGAAGATAAACGGGGCAGCTAGGTGGTGCAGTGGATAGAGCACCGGCCCTGAAATCATGAGTACCAGAGTTCAAATCCGGCCTCAAACTGAACACTTGACACTTACTAGCTGTGTGACCCTGGGGAAGTCACTTAACCCCAACTGCCTTAAAAAAAATAATAAATTGAAGATAAACTATACAGTCACATGGTATATACAAGTCCTTGTCACTCTAAGACTATTAAACTTTCCTTATATAAATATTATGAAAGTATTTAAATGACTAAATGTTGTAACACATTAACAACATTAAATTGTTAAATAATGTAACATATTAACAACATTAAATTGTTGTAATAGGTATTTTTAAATACCAAAGTGAAACGAGGTATGTAACTACTACCTTGAAAACCATAACTCTACTTTTTCTTCAATTGAGAGTGTTGAAATTTCTAGTTAGTATTTAGTTATTTTTCATTTGGCCACTTAATTAGTACATTATTTTTCTTTAGTGAAGTTGAGGGTTGAAAGGGAGAAGGGAGAGAATCCTAGTTGCCTTCTGCTAATAAAACTCACATCTTATTAGGTTTCTATTTTTCAGCTGGTGATAACTTCTGACTCTCCTGCTTAGTTGTCTTAGGGAAAATTTTGTCTTGTGTGAGTTAAAGATAACATTTCACATTTACTATTTCCCTGTAGCAACCTATGTTAGTCTTTGCCTGTTATTATCAAAGGAAGGAGATGTGCAGTATTATGCAGGCAAGAGGGATTTAGTTTGTTCTTCTAAAAAGATTGGTAGGTTCCTTACCATATTTTTCTGGGAAAGATTTTTTTTACTCATATTTCTTATATTGTGTTTTACCAGAGAAAGTCTATACTTCAGTAAGACAAGATTTTTGCATTTTTTATTTCTCAGACATATTGACTTGAGACTTAAGGCTGAGTGTTCTGAAGAGATGATTTTTTTAAAAAAAGTTTGAGCAAGTAGGGTGCAGCTAGGTGGTACAGTGGATAGAACACCAGCCCTGAAGTCAGGAGGACCTGAGTTCAAATCCGGCCTCAGACCAAACACTAGACACTTACTAGCTGTGTGACCCTGGGTACTTGCCTAAAAAAAAAAAGTTTAACCTAGTGAAAATAGTAGTCTGTGATCATAGATGTAGAGATTTCCAATTCTGCTACAGTAAAATAAAAGGTACAAATTTGAACTTTTCTACATATGTAAAAAATAAAAAGGAACTTTTATCCAATTCTTTTTGTCTACTTGTTGGACAAACATAGTTCTAAAAAAAAAAGGCAGGAGATCTTACTTCAAGTGATTAGACCCATAATAGAACACTGTGTGGAGGATGGTGTTGATTTTTTTTTACATCCCCCCCCCCTCAAATTACTTTTATTTGGAAATATTTAGTTGTGATGTTTATGTGATTAGATGCAGTAAAATGAGACTATAATCATGGTATGCGAATTAAGAGAAATTTAAACAGCTTGTCATTTTTTGCCACATTCTTGGGACTTTTTGAGAAATAATCATAAAGGATATTGTGAACTTAATGCATTGTAAATCAAAACGTGTATTAGAAAGACAAATGAGATGAATGATTTCCCTTATTTGTATGAGTTTTTTTTATGTGTTTGGTGCAGAAGAAAGCTTAATTTCTAGAGAAATACTTTCAACAGTCACTTTTAAAATGATGTGAAAAAATGTTTGAGATTGTTGGTTTCAACAAATGAATCTGTTTCTTTGTTCACAGCTGCAAACGTTTTTTGAGACATTCCTCCGGGTCAGTTCTCCTCTTCAGGCCTTTGATAACATGAAGGAAGCTATAAGTAAACTTCTGCTGGCAGCCGAAGCATTCAGGGAAACGTCTACTCTGGGACCAAAGACCATCAAAAGGTAAGTAATAGCACAAAACCAGGGCCTTCATTAGGATGAGCTTTGGCATCAAGGTGGGCTATTTAGAGGGGCAGATCTGGGATCTCTGCTTCCCTGGCTGCTTGGTTCTCTCTTCCAGGGATGCTTCCTGCCTTGTCCACTCTAACCTCTGCAGTAGTTGCCATGGCAGCAGTCTCCTCTCAGGATAGTTTCTTCCCCTCATTAACATACCAAATTAGTTCCCCCCTCCCTTACTTCATCCTATTCATTGCCCCAGGTGCAGACTAGTTACAACTCTGAACAAAGCAAAACAAAAATCACCCTAAAATTGGCTTTTATAGAAAATGCACATCAGTAGAATTATACAGCATAATCATGCAGCTAGGTAGCACAGGGGATAGAATGCTGGACCTGGTGTCAGGAAGACCTAAGTTCAAATCCAGCCTTGGATCAAACTAGCTGTGTGATCCTGGGTAGGTCACTTAACAACTGCCTGCCTACATGAGAATAATAACAACACCTACCTCCCATGGTTGTTGTGAGAATCAAATAAGATAATATTTGTGAAGCACTTAGCACAGTACCCGGCACATAGTAGGTGCTTCCTAAATGCTTGTTTCCTTTCATCCTTAAAAAGTCTGTGCTTCTTTTAAATATATTTATGATAGGACAAGGAACAATACTTGGAAGTTTTAGAAAGGCAAATTTAGGCTTAATGTAAGAAAAAAAAACCTTCCTAACAACCCCAAAGTGAAATGGGCTGTTTCAGGAGATAGTTGGCTCACTAAAAGTGGGTATTGTAGTGGATATAATTTAAGCGTATGGATCCCACTAAGATGTCCATTCAGGTTCCTTTCAACTCTGAAATTCTATGATGCTGCAACAGCCTATTGCAACTATACTTACAGAGTATATTTACACACATTTATGTATACATATTAGATTACATAGTATATTTCATCAAATATCTTGGAGTATATTCAACAATGATGAAAATAAATTGAATAAGTAAAGTTATAGGATTTTTGCTTCAATTTTGTCCTCTTTAAGCTAAACCACCCCCATAATTTGCATGTATATTGAGCTTTGATTTTTATAAAGAAAATCTTAGCAATTTGGATGTATCTAATTAAGCAAAATAGTTCATTAAAAACCTGTATTTACAAAATCTAGTATCTTTAATTCCTTTGTAGCCAAGTACTATGTATTTTAAATTCTAACCAAAATTGCTTCTGTCTCTCTAGGAAAAATTTAAAATGACAAATAATGAAAGGAACATTCAGTTTAGATTAATATTTTATGTCATGATTAAAGGGATCTCTCTATTTAATCTTTAGAATGTGGTATAGTGAAAGTTTGCTATTTTCCCAGTTAAGGAAGTTGGACACATTTCTAGCTTCTCTTTAGTCAGTTTTACAATATGGTTTCCAATGTTGAATCTGTGGAATGCTATGAATTTTCAGATCAAATGTGATGGTCAAAACAATGTTCAAATCTAAATTAAATTTTGTCATTGTATATTATTGAATCTATTACTTCCCATTTTTCCTTTATTAATTTATTAAAAATAATTATACTCAATTGGTTATAATTTTTAATAGAATGATACCCAAAAGATTAAATATAGTGAACAAGGAAAGTTTTTCATGTCATTCTATATTTTTGTTTCAGGTGCAGATTATGTTTTCAACTTTTAACATTTGATATTGATTATAGCAGCTCTTTGAACCCATTAGTTCTTCAGGTAAGTATGTTAAAAGCAGGTATTTTATTTCATAACTAATGATTTGATCTTCTCCAAGATTTTGCATGTGTGTCTAGTTTGAATTTATGACAAATGTATAGTTAGTATCTAGCATCAAAATCTTGAATAATTTAATTCTTTTGTAGCATAGGCATAGAGATGCTAGATTCATGTGTTCATTTTTTCAATGAAACTGATGAAATGGCTACTTTGTACAAGGCACTGAGATACTCTTACTTATATAAAGAAATTGTATTAGAGTGGGAATCAGAGGAGTGGTATATACACAGAGAAATATGATATTTAAAAATCATAGATTCAGAGCTGAAAGTTGATCTTAGAGTTCAGCATGCCCAACTCCCTCATTTTACAGATGAGAAAACTGGGGCCCCAAAATGTGAAGTGACTTGCTCAAGACCATGTAGCTATTATATATGGGAGGTAGGGCTTAAACCAGGATTTCCCTGACTCCAAATCCAGAAATCTGTCAATAATTCCACGTAGCCTCTAAAGAATGCTGATCATGAATAGCTAAATACCAAGAAACAAAACTCAAGCTGGTAGGAGGGTAACCAGGAGAGAACTGTTCCACAGAAACCACTGGACAGTAGATTATCCAGAAAGAAGAAAAGTCAAGAAAGATGACAACTAAGAAAAGGCTTTTGGTTTTGGCAATTAAGAAAACTAGTCACCTTTTAGATAATAGTTTCTGTGCAGTGAATGTTCTCTAAGATCAATTTCAGTTAAGCCTAGAGGAATGACTTTGTTTCTTAACTATTCTTTAACTACTACTTGTAAAAATAGATTTTCGTAAAGTAGTCTTTGAATTAGTGGAGAACAGTAGCATTCTTACTCAAAAATAGCAGCTAATCCAATCCATTTGTTTGAATGTGGGTTAACATATGCACAGCTGCTTCAGTCTTCTCAAACTGAAGCGTAGGCTTGAGTTGGTCTATATATTTTAAATAGTTAAGTATTTTTTTTCCTGAAAACTTAACACTGAACATAAGCATAAACATCCAACTTTATTAAGTAACTATTTACATTTAAATTAATTAATTTTGGGTTATACAATTAAATTGAATAGCTCTGAGCTTTTTGGGAATTTAATTTTCCTAGTGGGAAACACATGTGAATTGTACTTTGATGCCAATATTATCTACTCTAATAATAGTCTCTTTCTTTTCCACCTGGTTAGTTGATTTTTTTCTTTTCTCGTGCCATCCTAAAACAGCTCTCAGGAATTATTTTTAGAAATAGGAAATTAGGATAGTTCATTGGCTTTGTCTGAATGGAGCCATGTTTTTAAGGGGAGGAGGGATGGAAAGGAATAAAACACATGTTGACCCAAATATTCAAAACAGGCAGCTTGAATAGCCCAAGTGATCAAAATGATTTTAAATTTTCCCCTCAAGACACTATGACACTCAAGATTGTTCTTTAGAATCTTATATAATGAGACCATTTTCATTTCCTATAACTAACACATTTAGTTCAGTAAACTGCATGAAATCATTAATGTCATAATGCTAAAGTTTTCTAAAGCAACTTCTCTATATGGTTGATAGTCATTATTTTATACACTTTATACACTTTTTATACACTTTTTTATACGCTTTCTTCTGTTCTTAACTGTGCTGATCAAACATGGTGTCAGTTGGTATATAATGGAATAAAGTATCTTACTACTAAAGAGAGTTACTTTGACTGGTTAACCTATTCGTAGTTATGATGCATTCATTAATTTTGTCACAGATGAAAAAATTATGTATTGTTAAAATTTAGTACTAATCTGTATGAGATCGCTGTCCTCCAAATAGACCACTAGAGGTCAGTTCTGATCTTTAATTGTAATAGAGAATAACGTGTCTTGGGAAGAGTAATTCTACTGCACTAAAATAAATTAATATAAACATATTTGCCAAATATATTTTTTCTTTTTCAAAGGTGCATGAGCATTTTAATTTTCAAGTTGATGATAATCTTCATTTGGAGGACCAAAATACAAAAGAATTCCTTTTAAAAGACACTTTCAATTTTCTCTTTGCCAATGAGTCTTCACTTTCCATTTTTTCTGAAGCACTTCAAAGAATTTACAGATCAGATATAATTAAGGTAAGATTATATTTGTATATTTAATATTTCCTCATTTGTAGTCGGTCTTTAGCTGAATATGTGATCTTTAAAAGAAATATGAATGTTATCTATTAACAATAATAGCAATAATTGATTTTAATTCTTGCTCTAATACTAGCTAGGTTCTTTAAGACCCTCGATTTTATCTGTAAAATGAGGATAATAATGCTGTACTACTTAAGAGATACTCCTGTTATCTCCTCCTTTTCTCTAAATTCTGACTGAGGTACCCTTTCCCCTTACTAAGGCCAAGCACTTTACATGTCCATTTCACCCAATCCCCTTTGGTCTTCTCCAGCAGATTGTACCCTGCATCATTCCATCTCTACCCCTCATCTTCAACCTCTCCATATATAATAGTTCCTATCCCACTGTCTTAAAAAAATGTCAATGTCTATCCCATCCTAAAAATAAAAACAAACAACAATAACAAACAAAAAACTGGGGGAAAAGGCCAGAGCCAAGATGTTGGAGTAGTAGAAAGTTATGTATCTGAGCTCCACAAAACTCCTCCAAATAGACCTAGAAAATACACCAGACCTAATATTGATAAGGAAATTCAGGAAACTGTCACAGTGAGTCCTTTGTCCTACCCCACCTTCCTACTGGAAGACAGAGAGGTCTGCTGGCACTGGGGCCTTAGTCAGGCCAGGAGCATATCACACTAATGCAGAACACTCCAATGGCCAGGAAGAGGCTGTGTGCCAGGGCAAGAGGGGGTCCTAGACCCATGTGGGACATCCTCAAACCCATACCAGACTACAACAGGGACAGATACCAACTAGCGCTAGATGCTCACTGCCTAGTTCTGATTCACAGATCAAGGGTGGACTGAGAGGGGGAACTGCTCACAGGGATGGCATTCCTGGGCTGTGTATAAAGATGGGAAAAAAGTTCAGAAGTAAGCAGCAACATTTTGGCTCAGACAGGAGGAGCAGAGGGAGATCTCACTTCCAGCATCTAGCCTGGCCTACAGAGGAATTACCAGGGCTGAGGAACCTACAGTTCTGTCACTCTGAACCAGTAAAACTTCCTAGATGGTTGATAGGGCCCAACTCCAACAGTATTCTGTTGTAACTGACCAAAACCCAAGTCAGCAATGGATATAAACAGGCAGTTTTCAGAAGAAGACATCAAAGCTATCTACAGTCATATGAAAAAATTGCTCTAAATCACTATTGATTAGAAAAATGCAAATTAAAACAACTCTGAGATACCACCTTACACCCATCAGAAATGAAAAATGCTGGAAAGGATGAGGGAAAATAGATACAATAATAAACTGTTGGTTCAGTTGTGAACTGGTCCAGCATTCTGGAGAGCAATTTGGAACTATGCCAAAAGGGTTATAAAACTGTGCATACCCTTTGACCCAGCAATACCACTGCTAGGTCTGAATTCCAGAGATAAGGCCTAGGCGTGGTTCTGTTGTCTTAATAAGCTTAATAGAAGAATAGAGAGGGAAGAGGAATATGTGGGGGGAGGGGGAGGGAAGGAAGGTTAGGGAAAATTATCTCACATATTTAGAGTACACAAGTAGTTATCTATATAAACAGGAAGGAGAGAGTAGTAGGAGCAATTGACACTAAAACCTCTCCCTCATCTGAACTGGTTAAAGAAAAGGAGAATACACACCCATACCCATACACAAAGTTGGTTACAGAAACTCATTTCAATTGACAAGGAAATAGGAGAGGAAAAAGGAGGGGAGGAGACAAATTGGAGGGATGGTAGATTAAAAGAGAGTTTAGTCTTAAGCAAAAGAAACTCTAAGAATGTACAAAAGTATGTATAGTTCTTCTGAGGTCAAAGAATGGGAATCTGAGGCAATGCCCATAAATTGGGGAATGGATGAACAAGTTATGATATATAAATGTGATAGAATACTATAGTGCTATAAGAAATGATGAAAGCAATGGTTTCAAAGAAACCTGGGAAGACTTGTATGATATTATGCTGAATGAAGGAAACAGAATTAGGAGAAAAACTTATACCATGACAGCAATATGATAAAAACAAACAACTTTTGAAAGAATTAGGAACTCTTATCAGCATAATGACCAACAATTCCAGAGGACTAATGATGAAACATGTTACCTACCTCCAGATAAAGAAATGAAAGCATTAAAGTACAGATTAAGACAAACATATCTACATCTGTATCTGTCTTTCTGACTATCTATCTGACCGATGTGTAAATGTATTTTGATTAACTATATGTTTATAACAGGGTTTGATTTTCTTTCGTTCTCAAGGTGGGGGTGGAGTGGGAGGGTGAAAAGGAAGATTTTTGCTGATTGCAAAGAAAATATAATTTAAAACAAAAAACAAAAACCCTTCACTAGATCCTACTATCCCCCTCAAGCTATCATCTCTTTTCCTTCTCTCAGCCAAACTCCTTGAAAAGCTGTCTATATTTACCACCTCTAATCATTCACTCTTTAACCCTTTCCAAATTGGATTCTAACTTTATCATTGAACTAAAACTATTCTCTCTAAAGTTACAAATAGCTTCTTAATTTCCAAATCTGGTGGTCTTTTCTAAGTCTAAATCCTTCTAGCCCTATATAATATATTTGATGCTGCTGACTCTCTTTTCCTCCTAGGTGATCTCTCCTTTCTGGGATTTCATTACACTGCTGTCTTCCGGTTCTCGTCTAACCTGCCTGTCTGGGTGTTCCTCAGTCTCCTTTGCTTTCTCAACAGCCATATCATGCACCCTCACTGTGGATGTTCCTCAAGATTCTATACATTTTCCTTCTCTCTCTCAGCCCCCATGGTTTAACTGCCATCTCTATGCAAAGGATGCACACACAAATATGTATGCATGGGTAGATATGTATATATATATATCTATATACATATATGTATCTATATATACTCACACATATATGTGTATAGATAAATAGAGATAATTTCCAGCCCTAATCTCTCCTCTGAGCTTTACTACAGTATTACCAATTGTCTGGACTGCCTGGAGACATCTCAAATTCAACATGTATAAAACTCAACTCATTATCTTGTCCCCAAAACCTTCTCCTCTTCCAAATATTCCCTATTTCTATCTCATCTTGTTGTTTTTGTTTCCACATCACAGATTCATACTATCACATATTAAAGGCTGAAAGGGACCTTGGAGTGGAAGTCATCTGATTCCACCTTCTCATTTTATAGATGAGGAAACTGATGCCAGAAAGCTAAGTGACTTAAGGTCACGTGGGCAGGAAGAAGTAATTAGAGAATTGTATTAGATGGTCGTGAGGTTCCTTTCAACACTCCTATTATTCTTCTTACAGTTGGAGATTTCCAAAGTATTAGCAAGAACTTGAGATAAACAGTATTAGTTGGTAGAAAAATTATTAGTATCAAAATAATTATTTATAATGTTATATTTCAGGCAGATATTATAATGGGGGGGGAAGCCCTAAAATCGGGAGAAACCTCAGTTTGGATTTTGCCTCTGGCTGACTTTTACTAGTTGTGTGATGATGGACAAATGACATACCTTCTTTGAGCCCTTCAATTTCTCATCTGTAAAATGGGCACAATAATACTTATACTATCTACTTCCCAAGGTTATTGTGAGGGAAGTGTTTTGTAAACTTTAAAGTAACATATAAATGGGAATAATTATCATGAATTCTTTATGATAAATATGAGTTTCTCAGGAAATGTGTGAAGATGATTCTGAAGTATTTTTCCAAGTCACCACACCTCTTCCATTTATATTATTCAGTTTGTTTAGCCAAACCTTTTTATTGTTGTCATCTTGGAAAAAATAAAAGGCATATTTCAGACCAATATTATTTACTACAAATTCAGAATGAGTAGAGGCTAAATGAAGAGGTTTAAATCTATTTTTAAAATTTTCATCCACAGATGCTTGCAGTGTTACTAATATCGGAGCAGGGTAAAAGTTTAAATGTTGCCATCCATCGTGCCACATACTAGGGCGCTACTTACTTAATAAACTTAACATTGGTTCCACGTAGAAGTTTCTCTCTTTCTAAATTCCACAATAGAAAAGCTGTTAGAATCTAGAAAGCATAAAATGAATAGGAAAAGGATTATAACCAAGTATTGAAGGTTTCAAATGGGACTGATTTACTTATGAGAGAAGGGCTTAGGCCTCAGATTGTCAGCTTCATGTGGTCTTTTTTGACTTGGTGCTGTTTCCTTTTTTGTTTTACCAAACCTGCTGTCATTAAAGCTTGGAACCACAAAATCCCAAAGTAGTGGTTATCTTGGTACTTTCTGTTCCCAAGAAAGTATCAAAACAGTGAGTGAGGAAAAAAAGGTTGTTGATAGAAAATGTCTACTTATTTTGGACCTCAAAATAGTAAAGTCATAAATTCTGCCTTTGTTTTTGGCAAATAACATATTATAATGGAGGGGGGCGGGGCTGAAAATGCTCTTCTTACATCCCAAACCTACTATTTAAAATCTCCTTGACTACCAAAAAAACTGAGATGTTTTACCTGGGTTTACCTTGTTAGAAGGTGTTCAAATTTGAAAGTGTTTCCATTGTGACTCTTGCTGCTTACATAATTAACTAAGCCTTGAGTATCTCATCTATTTCCTAAATTAGTTCAAAAGAATTTCCAAAGGAAGTCTCTTAAGTGTTTTGCACATGGTAGGAACTTGATAAATCATAGAATTTAGAATTGGGGCAGCTTGGTGGTACAGTGTATAGAGTATGGGACCCGGAGTCAGGAAAACTCTTCCTGAGTTCAAATCCGGTCTCAGACTCTTACTAGCCATGTGACCCTGGGCAAGTCACATAACCCTGTTTGCCTCAGTTTGCTCGTCTGTAAAATAAGCTGGAGAAAGAAATGGCAAACCACTCTAGTATCTTTGCCAAGAGAATCCCGAATGGGGTCACGAAGAGTAGGACACAACTGAACAACAACAAAAATAGTGCATTAGAGGTCATGTAGTCTAATCTCCTCATTTTACAGATAAGCAAATAAAAGCCCAGCGAAGTGAAATGGCTTCTTCTAAGCAACAGTTATATGCAAGGTGTTGTATTAGATACTTTAAGCTTTGTAAAGCATTTTCCTTACAATAACCATTTGGGTCAGGTAATATGTATGTGTTATGATGCCCTTTTTGCAAATAAGAAATTGAGGGTCTCTGAGAAGTTTAATAACTTGTTCAACATTTCATACCTAATGTCTGAGGCAAGATTGAAAACTCGGTCTCTGCTGATTGATTTTGAGTCCAGTGTTTTTTCCACTACTAATCTGCCTCCATTATAACATTATAAATTATTCTTATATGTTCATTCAATAATTTCCCTCCAGATCTCTACTTAACAATATTGTGGAGGTTTCTAGGTGTCTGTAGAATATAGCATGATAGAGGAGTAGTGCTAGAAGAAACCTTACAATGATTTAGTGCAAATCTATTTGTGTTCATGGAATCTATGGCCCTATTCTATAAAGATTTATAGAATCATACCATGATAGATTGAAGGTCAGAAGGAATCTTAAATGAGAGGTCATCTAGTCATTCCCCCTCATTTAACAGAAAAGGAAACTGAGGCCAGAGACATTAAGTGTTTTTAATATATTTTTATTTCATTAACTATTTCCCAATTAACATATAAAAAATTTAACATTCATTTTTAAAATTTTGAGTTCTAAATTCTTTCTCTCCCTCTTATCCTTCACCTCCACACTGAGAAGGCAAGCAACATGATATTGATAATACTTTAAGTCATGCGAAGTATATTTTTATATTAGTCACGTTGCAAAAGAAAACACACCAAAAAAAACCCAAGAAAAATAATATCTTAAAAATATATTTCAATCTGCACTCAGAGTTCATCAATTCTGTCTCTGGAGGTAGACAGCGTTTTTCATCATGGGTCCTTTGGAATTGTCTTGAATCATTGTCTTGATCAGAGTAGCTAAGTCTTTCACAGTTGGTCATCCTTATAATATTGCTATTACTATATACAATGATCTCTTGCTTCTGCTCACTTCACTTTTCATCAATTCATATAAATCTTCCCAGGTTTTTCTGAAAGCATCCTGCTCATCATTTCTTATAGCACAACAGTATTCCATCATAATCATATACCAAAACTTGTTCAGCCATTCCCCAAATGATGGGCATCCCCTTAATTTCCAATTATTTGCTACCACAAAAATAACTGCTCTACATATTTTTGTACAAATACGTCCTTTTCCTTTTTTTTTTGATCTCTTTGGGATACAGACCTAGTAATGATGTTGCTAGGCCAAAGGGTATGCACACTTTTGTAGCTCTTTGGGTTTAGTTCCAAATTGTTCTTCAGAATGGTTGGACTACTTCATAACTCTACCAACAGTACATTAGTATCTCAGTTTTTCCACATCCACTCCAACATTTGTCATTTTCTTTTTCTGTTATGTTAATCAATCTGATAAGTATGAGGTGATATCTCAGAGTTATTTTAATTTTAATTTATCTAATAAATAGTGATTTAGAGCATTTTTTCATGTGACTATTGATAGCTTTGATTTCTTCTTCTGAAAACTGCATGCTCAGATGTTTTGAACATTTATTAATTGGAGATTTGCTTGTATTAATTTAGCTCAGTTACCAGTGCATTTGAGAAATAAGGCCTTGAAAAGAGAAGCTTGCTATAATTCCCCCCCCCCCCCAGTTTTCTATTTCCCTTCTAATGTATTAGCTTTGTTTGCTCTCTCTTCATACTGCTTCCATGTTGAAGATACTCCGTGAATCAATTGCTGAGGGTCACACAACTACTGAAGAACAAAGCAAATTTGTAGCTTGCTCTGAGTGTCAATAGAACTGGAATCAAGGTTTCCTAACACACAATTCAGTTCTCATTCAACTATATTACTTACTTTTTATTACTTTTTACTATTTTGTGACCTCCTTAGACCAATAAAACAGTATTTTCTTTAAAACATTCTAAAACTCAAGGTTTTTTATTAATTAAGAGTTTCATGTCAGTCAATTCAAAATATTCCAGACAAATGAACCTAATTTTGAAAGAAACTAAAGATTCTAAGGAGTAGAGGAAAAAGGAGGGGGTATTTCTAAGCCTGTATGCCTAAACAAAAGCAGAGAAATCAGACATGAAAAATCAGGTTTAGGAAAAGGAAAAGGCTAATGGGTCAGTTTGGTGGGAGTGCAGAATGTTTGAAGTGGAATAATATGAAAAAAAAAAGGCATGGAAAGGAATTTAAAGCCAGGGCATAGATAACTTTAAATTCTACACTGATGTATTTGTATGTTATCTTAGAAGCACTAGGGAGCCACCAAAGATTTTTGAGCATAGGAATTCCATGGTCAGGCCTATCCTGTAGGAAGAATATTTTGACAGAAATGTGGAGGATGGAATAAAGAAGGGAGAGTTTGGAAGCAAGGAGGCCTATTAAGAACTTACTGCCATTGTCCAGGCAAAAAGTGGTAAGACATGAACTCGGTTAGTATATAGCATGAGTAGAGATAAAGACGTGAGGAGGATGTTGTGGAAGCAGAACTGAAAAAAATTGGCAATTGAGTAGACATGAAAGAGGAGGACTGGAGAGGAGATAGGGCAGAGGGAAGAGGCAAGGATGACTCCAAGGTCGTGAACATGGGTGACTAGAAGAATAGTAGTGCGGGGCAGCGAGGTTGTGCAGTGGATACAGCACCAGCCCTGAAGTCGGGAGGACCTGAGTTCAAACCCTGCCTCAGACCAAACACTTGACACGTATTAGCTGTGTGACCTTGGGCAAGTCACTTAACCCTGATTGCCTCACTAAAAAATTAATTAATTAATTAATTAATTAAAAAAAAGAATAGTAGTGCCCTCAAAAATTCAGGTATATTTGAAAAGGGAACATACATTTAAATATCAGAGATGATATTTGGACCCATGTCTTCAGGTATCAGAGCTATGTCTTTCTGTTATACCAGGCTTGTTCGCTTATTGATTGACTGGATAGATAGACAGACAGATAATGGAGTAGGTAGCTACTAATAATTTTCATTTCTTTGTTGGAATGTTTAAATAATTTTGTTTGCATTTTCAATGCAGGGTGAAGGATATCAAAATGAACTTGATCCATGCCTCTCTTTAGAGGATATGAATTCAATTATGACATTCATAAAGGAACTCAAGAGTCTGGGACAGTTTCAACTGGTAAAACAAAAATATTGCCACTTAAATTTTTTTCTATTACTATCATATTGGTATTATGTTGCTGAGTATATAAATATAAATGTTTTATATTTACATATGTAAGTTTGCATGTATATATGAATGTATATACATATTCATATATACATATATGTGTATAGTCTTGAATTTAGGTCAGATGCAGATTGTAGATGCAATATTTCTTTAAAAATATTGAAGCCAAAATAGGTAGGATCCTTAAATTTTTTGGTTTATGATTTTGCAAAACAATACTTGACTTATCAAAGATAGGAAAATATAGAGTTAATGGAGCTGGCAGATTTTAAATTTCTCTTGTCATGGGAACAATGTTGAAGAATTTTAAAGTTTTCCACTAATATTTGGGGGAATTACTACTTTACCAAAATGTATCACTTGTCTATTTCCTTCTTTTTGTTTGTGGAAGATTGGAAATGTCATATTAATCTAGAGAAGTCTTTAGAAAGTTGACAAATGTCAGTTTGTCTAACTCTACATCAAAATTGGGTAGAGGGGAAAGGGGAATGGCTAAAGTTTGCAAAATGTCTAAATTGATTCTAGTGCAAGGATGACATTTTATCTTAACTTCTGATAATCATCAGAACAATATCAGAAGTAAATTTGTTATGTCCATATGTGCATTCTCAATACCTATTTTTCTGTTTCACATTGCTTTTTATATTTGACTAAATTAATAAATCTGAATTTTCTAATGACTCTGTTGATGCAAACTCTTTTTAAAAGGTCTAATCCAAAACTCAGTCATTTAAATGAAGTTAATCATTGATTTAATAATTACTAATTTAACACGTACAGTTTTTAATAAATTAGTTTCTGATAAATGATGGATTAAAACACAATTTATGGTAATATAGTAAAGATGAAGGTTAATATCTTTTACTTGATGAATGTTGGGACATGAAAGATTACCAACTTACTAGCTAATTTTATTAATAAAGATGTTCTATAATTTGCCTTGGGCTGGAGAAGCTTCTCTGATGAATTCAAAGGAAAATATTTTTCTCAAAGATGATTCCTTCATAAATACCAATTTGGATGAACTCCAAATTCATCATTATCCAGCAGTAAGTTAATGTCCATATTTAATAGTACTTTTTCTTTTTGGACATAATACAAAGAAAGTGAAGCAGACCTGGTTCCGCTTTTCTTAGAGTTTATGATGTGAGATAAGGCATCATGAATATAAGGAGAACATCTCCCAAGATTCTGGTATGAGGACTTAGAAGGCTGTGTGCTGAGGAAAAAAGCAACAGTATCAATTCCTTAACACTAAGGGTGGTGAGAGAACAGACACTAACTTCCTTTGTTCTATTGGCATTACTTATTCTATCCTAAATAAACTCTAACCATAAGGGATTTCTTTTCATCCTCCCACTCAACTGAGTACTATTTTCAGTTCCATAGAGAACATCATATAACCATTTAAAAATGGATTTTGTTGACTATTATTCTTAAAACATATTCTTTTTAAAATGCTAGATTATGTGGCATTCCACAAGAGCATTACATTTTTATTTTTTACTTTTTCTACAAGTTATTCTGATATCCTTTCCTAACAGATTTATATTTGTTCCATTTTCTTCTCAGCTTTTCCCATCAACTGCTCCTGGGATTCAAGCTTTTATGCGTGAATTTTATTACGTGGCAGATCCTATGGGAAAACATGGTTCAGTTCTGACCCAGCACTGGTCCCTCTTAAATTTATTCAAAGAACTACAGCTCACAAATAAAAAGACTCAGCTCTATTCTTTAGAATGGTAATATGTTTACACATTTGCCGAGAAGTTTTCATTCTTGGGATAGGAGAGCTATGTTGTTAGGCTAGATGCATGTTAAGGGTATGTAATCAGAAACTCTTTAGACTAGAACGGTTTGATTTGAAATGGCCCTCACTCATAGTGGCAGGGGGCAAGAGGGAAAAGGGAGGAGAAGAAATAAAGAGACTGTCCAAAAACTCACTCCAAAATATGCAAACCATAAGGACACCAGTGAGCTTCAAAAAGTGAGATAAAAATATGATGACAAGTTGCAAATCATTCCTATAGAAGAGCCAATAAGCCCTGATTCCCCTATAAGGCAATGTTCAGAATGAAATTTTTGCAGTGTGGTGTCATTGTGATATGCATCTGAGGTGGGGGAACATCAGAGAGGCTATGAAAAAACAAGACATGTGTCAAGATTTTCATGAGCTATCAACTAGCTATCAGACTGGAAGAATAATTGGATTTATTTAGTTGGTTTGTGAACACAGGATGACAGAATGAAACATATTTGTGCTCTAACATTCTATGATCTATAATTTTTCCAACTTCTCTACTGGCCTAGGGTAATTTGGCAAAGCCAAAGCTATCTTTGGCTTTGGAATAAGGAAAACATAGCTTCAAATCCTATTTCAGACAATTAACTAGGTAGTGCCTGGCACTTAGTAGGTACTTGATAAGTGTTTAATGAAGTGAATGTGACCATAGGCAAGCCACTTAATTTTAAAATGCTATGTAAATGCTAGCTATTATTATGGAGAAACATTGGGGGAGTTTGTTATCCCTCTTCTTTCAAATCAGGATTACCTCCGCCCTCTGGGAGAAGTGAAAATCTATCCTTTTAAGAAAAGACTTCCGGAAAAGATAGAACCTCCCAGGAGTCCTTCAGGCTTCCTCTTCCTCCTCTTAATATCAGGAAATCTTTCTTGGTTTAAATCTAATGTCCTGTGGTCCACCTGTTTGAGGAGAGATGGAGAATGATTGGCCAGACTTTTTCCTATAATAATCTAAGTCTTTACATGGTTATTAGAACTTCCCTTGAGAATATTTTAGAAGTTATTTTAAACTGTCATGATTTTAAGAAAAAAATAATTTTCCTCCCTCAAATTAGCAGACCTCGTCAAAGGTAGAAGGTTTTGGGGTTCGAAACTAAGTTTTAAAATGTTATTCCTCAGTGTTGTCATATATTCAATTCAGCTGAAATCCACATAATCGGTGATCATTTCATATGATAGCTAATGATAAAGGATATTTATTATAGCACTTACAAGATTTGTGAAATGCCTTACACATAATGTTTCATTTGATGCTTACCAAAAACTCTTTGAAGTACTATCGTTATCCCTGTTTTACAGAGAAAGAACCTGAAAGATGGTGAGTTGTGTAGGGTCAGACAAGCATCTGATATAGGATTTGAATTCAGGTCCTCCATACTCCAAGTTCAATGCTCTTTGCACTGCGGCTTTTTAAAGTGTTTTATTTCATAACATATTAAAAGATGTTGAGGTCTTTTTTTGGTGAGTTTTCTCACCAGCCAGCTTTTCCCAAGTTCTCAAATTTCAGCAAGCTATAATATAACAAATAAACTCTATTCCTAGGAGGGCGTTAATAGGAACCAGGGCTTAATTCTTGCTTCTCATCTTTCAATGACAATTTTAACTTCAAAGTGAGTATTAATTCTTTTTTTTTCTTTCATAGGAAACACAAGAATAGTTTGAGAGATTCACCTCTGAAACAAGCAAATCACAGGTAAGGATGTCTTTTACCGAACAATACATCTCCCCCTTGGTCAAGTTGATACCTTATTCTTAGATAGCATTATTTTAACACTGGGATTTATCAATGCCTACAACTCTGCAATTTTTTCCCACCTGGAATTCTGCCCCAGAAAAGGTAAAAAAAAAAAATCTGCCGTCAGAAAAGTTGAACGTTTTATAAAATTACACTACTTAGATTCCACTTTTTTTCTTCACTCTTTAGTAGCTTAAGACTCAACTGCTTGTATCAACATGATAGGAGTAGGGAGGGGAAAAATCTCATTTAACAAGGAACAGTTGCCAATTATGCGCTAAGCACAGAAGTTAAGAGCTTTAAATTAATAGACGTTAGCCTCTAAACAGACCAAATGCAAACCTTAATACTAGTACTTTTGAGCTCTGCGTTATAGGAATGAAGAACAGGTGGTTGTTGTTAAGTCCTTTCAGTCATGTCCAACTCTTGGTGCCCTCATATGGGATTTTCTTGGCAAAGATACTGCAGTGGTTTGCCATTTCCTTCTCTAGCTCCTTTTACAGGTGAGGAAACTGAGGCAAGTTTAAATGACTTGCCCAGGGTCACACAGCAACTAAGTGTCTGAGGCCAAATTTGAATTCTGGTCTTCCTGACTCCAGGCCCAGCACTCTATCTCCTTGTGCCACCTAGCTACCCTGCCAACACCTATTTGCCCATAAAATACCCTAAAATGGATAAACCCGAGTAGCAGTGTATATAGTGGCATAGGTACTGATTCTCATGTCCTAGGACCTGTGTTCAACTCTAAGGTCTCTTTCTTATTATCTGTGTGATCTTGGGCAATTCCTTTAACCTCTCTAAGTCTCAGTTTCTCTACTTAACTGAGGGGGTTGGATCTCTGGAATCACTCTCCAACCTTCTCTGATTCTATGTAAAATATACATTTTAAATTAGAGGTAATATTGCTTTACAAAGACTTGACTAACACCTTTAGAAAGAACTCTCCTCCCCCCTGCCCCACACAGTATATTACAATGTGATTTCATTGATAAAAAACTAGTTTACACTCAATTTTTCAGGAGCATATTTCCAATGAGGTACACCTGTAGTATTTTCTCAGTATAGATTTGGATAAAATGTGATTTAGTTTTGACCTGGAAATAGGTAGCTGTTTCTTGTCATAATTACCTCAGTATGCTAGATTGGACCTTTACAATAATCCCAGGATTTACGTATGAGTTGTCATCAAGCTTTTTAGACTCAGTTGTAGAGGTATCACTAGGTAGTGAAATATCTCCATGCCAAGCATTCCACTGTAAGTGAATATAATTTCTCCTCAAATTATGCAGTTACTTTGTAGAAGAAAACATTAAAACCCAGTATAGTGGAAAGAGCAAAGACTCTGGTATAAGAAGACCTGGATTTGAATTACAGCTCTACCTCTTACTCCCTGTGTGACCTTATACAAAGTGTGGGGTTAGACTCAGTTACCTCACAGATTCTTTCTAGCTCTAAAGCTATAATCTCCCAATCCGGTAGTGCTTTTTCTCATTGTATGCTCTTGGGTATGAAGAGAAGACCATCTTTCTTTTGCTTTCTTTCTAAACTCTCTGGTTAGCTAGATGCATGCTCTGGGGTCACTGCAAGAAGAGCTTCCTTCAACCACTTTAAGAGTCATCTAGAAGAGCATACTATTGAAAGTAGACTTGGTAGACTGGTCCAATTTGGGACACTGGGAGAAATTAGATATGGTTAGTATGTTTATTTTTCTCTGTATCTCATTTCATTTTTAAAATGGTGTGGTCACCAAGAACACCTCTTGTTAGCTTCTTGGATAGAGTGATTAAAAAGAATGACAAGTGCTTTCCTCAAAGAACCTGCATTGAACCTTTATACTTCCTTTGTAAGATGGATGGAATGAACTTTCTGTTACTAACTGTAGTGGTTGATACTGGGCAGATCATAAAGTCAACAGACTCAGGTTAGTTCTGTTATTACTTCCTCAGTGACCCAATGAAAATTCAAATCAAGAACAACTTGCAGCCTAAGGACATTGCAAAATATTTAAATGATGCTGTCCAAAGAGAGTTTAGAAATTAGACTACAATTTTATCCAATATATGTACACATCTTCCCATAGCTACATGCCTGTGGGCTATTAAAACTAAGATTGCCTGGAGGGCAACCAATGGATTTTAGCCCTATGACCCAATGACTGCTAATTGGCTTCATCACATCTATGGCTTCAACCACAAACTTTTTTTTTTTTTTGGTTAGGCAATGGGGTTAAGTGACTTGCCCAGGGTCACTTATGTGTTATATGTCTGAGGCCGGATTTGAACTCAGGTCCTCCTGAACCCAAGGCTGCTGCTCTATCCACTGCGCCACATAGCTGCCCCAACCACAAACTTTTTAATGAGAACTTGTCCATCAGTGGATGTTTCTTGTATAGACAGTATAAGAGGACAACAAATTGGGAGAGAACTAGACATGAGGATGAGAGAGAGAATTGTATTGTGCTTTTGTAAATTATAGTGCTCTTTGATGATGTCAAAAGTCTCCCAAAAACAAAGATCTATCTTTTTAATGACAATATCTTAGTAGTTTTGGTTGGTTTATACCTACAAGTCACAGAATGCAATGGTCTCCAAAGAATTAAAAGTGAGGGCAAGGTAGAGACACATATTTTGCATATATAGACTTAAACATGTAACAAATAAAGGATCTTGAGAAAGAATCTTGTAAAGAATTAATCAAAGAAATATATGTGCAAAGAACCTGGACTAGTTAAATGATAAGAGCAAGATACAACAGATGGACAGCCCTAATGCTCCATGGTATATTTACAATGTCAGGAGATGGCCTCCAGCATATTGAGTGAGTACCATGTGGACTTAGGAGAGGATGTGGAAAAGAATTGCATAGGATAAGCAGGCCCAGATGGGTTATGATCGGTATCACAGAGGTAATATGGATGTGATCCATATGGATGCGATCACAGACCCATCTGAGTAGTTAAGTAAATAACTTCATATATTTTGTTAGAGGGGAAGTTTTTAGGATGGTCTGTGAAATTTCAATAGGAACCATGATTTTAAGATAGACGAGCAAGTTAATGAGCTCTCATGGTCAATGTAGACTTAGTTTGATTTTAATAGGAAAACATAAAAGAATGAACAATATATGTATCTTTGCTATATATTTTGCCAAGATCCAAGATTTTAGGAGCAATCTGATCCTGTATTTAGGAATTCAACGGAAAAAGAGGCAAAAACAACACCCATCATCCAGGATCCTTAATCGGTTCTCAAATAGGAGTCCTTAGTCATTAATTGACCACATGTTAGCTATTTATCCTTTCTAGCTACACTTCTGTTATTTTAACTATATGTCTGTTCTTCTCAAACTATGTTTCATGGCTTATTTCATCCAACTAGTAGCTTGTTACATGAGATTTGGGGCTTCCAAAGCTTGTAAATTTTCCTTAGTGCTTGAGTGAATGAATTCTTCCGAGCCCTTGTTATCAATACTTGCTTAGTTCTGAATCTCACCTGAAAATGTTTTTTTGTGTCCCAATTTTCTACAAATCAGCTACTACTCAAACCTGGTGAATTTTCACCCATCTTATATGAGGCCACACTGTCAATACTGAGAAATAGAATCCAAGGAGTGTTTATCTATTTTTATATATATAATCATCCACACACACAAAGACATAGGGAATGTTAGATGTGTGTGTGTGTTTTTTTAAATGATTTTGTTCATTTTGTTGATCAAGAATATATTTGGCATTGAATTCACAGGAATCTGTTTCCAGATAACATTAAGCCAAGAGTTCCCTTGGATGCAGGTGAAAATATCATAGGTAAGGAGAAAATGGCACTATTTTATTATGAAAATAAGTACTGTTCCATGTGTTCAGGGCTGAAAGGAAACCAGGGTGAGAAATCAAGTTGACCCTTTGACACTGTGTCAATTATCATTTCCTCCTAAATGTGTATCCTCTGTAGAGTTTTGTAATATTGCTCTCTCCTGGTTCTCTGCCTGCCTAACCATTGCTTCTCAGTCTCCTTTAATGGATCTTTATCCAGGTCATGTCCACTTACTCTGGGTCTATCCCAAAGTTCTGTTGTGGGTCTTTTATTTTCTCTTTCACTTATTGATCTTACCAGTTCCCAGAGGTTCAGTTATCTTTGTGCTGATGATTCCTAGATCTATTTATCTAGCCTGAACCCCATTTCTCTATAACGTTTTGGACATCTCATATTGTATATCACATGAGCATCTCAAATTCAACATGTCCAAAATAGAACTCAGTATCTTTTCCCCAAAACTCTCCCTTCTTCCCAGCTGAACTATTATTGTCAAGGACACCATTATTCTCCCTGATATCCCTTTTCATCCAGGATGGTGTCATCCTCAGTTTCACTTGCATTCACCCATCATATTCATTCTCTTGTCAAATAGAGTCACTTTTACCTTCACCAGATCTCTTCTGTATGTCCCTTTCTCTCCAGTCACATAGCCAACACCCTTACATAGCCCTCATCACCTGAACTCTGGGAGTAATCTGGTTGGTTTCCCTGCCTCAAGTATCTCCCCATTCTAATCTGTTCTCCATTTAGCTGGAAAATTGCTTTTCTTAAGGTGCAGGTTTGACCTTATCATTATCCTGCTAAGTGACTTCATTTGGTTCCTTATTACCTCTAGGATCAACCCTTCATAAGCTGCCTCCTTCCTAGCTTTCCAGTCTTCTTACACTTACTTCCCTCTACATACTCTGTAATGCAGCTACACTGCCCTCCTGTAGTTCCTCACATATGGTACTCTCTGTCTCTTGCCCACGTGACTGAAGAGCTCTTCCTCCACCCCCCTACCTCCTAACTTGCCTGCCTTCTTTCAAGACTCACTTCAAATCCCACCATCTACACTGCCTTTCCTAGTCTCCTCTACTCCCAATGCCTTCCCTTTCTAATTAAATTCTAGTTACCCTCTATGTAGCTTCCAAATACATAGTTTTTCGCACATTGTCCCTCTCATTAAAATGTGATATCTTTGCAGGCAGAAATCATATTTTTGCCTTCTTTGTGTTACAGTACTTAGCATGGCCTGGCATGGCACACAGTAGTAAGAACTTTTGTTAAGTTAGCTATAAGTAGATTTTTGGTTGCATACAAGGAGTAGAGGTAATATTTGGCAAATGTCGGTGGAGCCAGAACACACTTTGAAGGTTAATGGAATTTCTGTATTTCTGATGATTGTAGAAACTGTAGATCAATGTTTTTTATTCTTTGTATGTGTTATGGACTCCTTTAGCAGTCTGGTAAGCCTATGAAGCTTTCTCAAGATAATGTTTTCAGACAATTGAAGGAAATGGTAAATTTCAGTTAGAGACTAGTGAAAATAAAGATGTATTTTTTTTCTTTTCCAAGTTCAATCTATTAATGGATTCCCTTGTCCATAGATCCCAGATCAATAATAATGGTACCTAGCATTGGTATTACACTTGAAAATTTGCAAAGCACTTCATGTTATTTTATTTGATCCTCACGTTAACCTTGTGAGATAGGTGCTATTATTCACCCCCATTTTACAGATGAGGAAACTGAGACAAGTTAAGAGACTTGACCAGGATTACACAGCTAGAAAGTGTCTGAGACAATATTTGAACTAAGGCCTTCCTGATTCAAAGTCCCACACTATCCACTGTACCACATAGCTACTCCTAAGTTGACATCCTTGTTGTAGTCACAGAATCACAGATTTAGAATAATGTGACAAGACGTTTCAGACAATTGAATATCTAAATTGATCAAGTTATTTGAGTCTTTTCCTTACTACTTTCCTATCTGAATAAAATAACATTTGAGGATTTGAATGAGATATACATTCATTCTTTTTGAACTTCTGATTTTCCTTATAAGGTCTTAGATATTTAAAGTAATTTTTTAAAAAAAGAATTGAATTTTTAAAAAAATTTTCAATCTTCATGTACTTGAAATTATTTAATTTGTATTATTTTCCTCCTACCAAGTAATTTTAATACAAATTTATACTTTTTTTCCCCTTTAGTGCCACATTTAACGAATAAGACCAAAGAGATACATTGCAGTAATGGTAAGTTGCCACTGATTTTTTTTTCCCTTACCAGAATAATCAAGCCAAGCCTAATACAGCTTTGAATAAATTTTGAGTCTATTCATCAATTCTTTAGTGTATGGGGACATTTGAGCTTTTAATTCATTTTCAGCAAATTTCATTCCGAGGTAGAGAGACAGCCTGGTGTCGGTGATAGAGAGTCATCCTCACCATCAGGAAGCTGTGAGTTCACAGACACATCCTGGCTGTCAGACTCTAGGCTTGCCATCACAACAACTTCAGTGCCCTAGGCAACTCTCCAAGACTGAGTTGCAGAAGAGTTGCTTATCTGCAATGGTAGAGGGTGTTTCCTCACTGGGAATTTTCTATACTAATGAAATCATAGATCTGGTTCAAAACCAAGCGATAAAACAACCCAACCCATGTTATGTATGCAACACTGGGCTAGATTCTGAGGGAGATAGGATGTTTAGTTAGAACATAGTCCCTGTACTCATGGAGCTTATGATAGTAGGAAAATTTAACACATACACAAATGACTGTAGCCTGTGTCCTAGAACTGAGACTCTGGATTTATCAAGACTGGGTTCAATATTAGGAGTTTCTTACCAGTCATACATTTGGCAGATGCTCTCACTCAGAGTTGCTCCTAGAAACACAAATATTTGGCTCATATCTAGGTCTGTACAAAAAAAAAAGGTGATTCCCTTAGTTTCCATGCAAGCCCTCAGGCTAAAATAACATTGTACGTAGGGCAAATTTTATTTAACATGACCAAAGTGGAAGACTTGCATCGCAAGCCTATTAATAGTCAACACCTGACCTTCCCTCTTTGGTGAACTTCACCTTCCAAAGGACTCATACAGTCCTCCAAACTTATTGTCCTAGCATGGCATTGAACCCTGCATCTCCTTCAAGAGGAAAGTTCTCAAAATTTCCAAAGAATTATTGCAAGACCCTCTCTCTGGTGAGTACCACCTCAATAATGGGCCAGTACAGCCTTCTAGGTTTATGGTGAGATTAACTTCAGTTCAAAGTTTCCCCACAATGGGAAGCACTCAAGCATAGTACACGTAACTCATAGCACCAATGAAGGTCAAGATTCAAGTCTGCTTCTGCACACCATAACTCTGTGTTTGCTGTCACTTGGTTGACACAGTTTAATCCAGGCACCCTTTGACACTCTAATATGGTCTATATCTGTTGTCATGTCTGGGACCATGTGGTTGTCTGGAGGTGTCTACAACCACCATCACCAGTACTTCTTCGAAGACTAAGTTTAATTCACTGTTTATATAATGCTTCTCCTTTCTGGGTGCCTCTCAGCTCTGGTCCTCTCTCTGTGTCTCTCACTTTTTTTTTTTTTTTGGTAAGGCAATTGGGGTTAAGTGACTTGCCCAGAGTCACACAGCTAGGGAGTGTTATGTGCCTGAGGCTGGATTTGAACTCAGGTCCTCCTGACTCTAGGGCCAGTGCTCTATCCACTGAGCCACCTAGCTGTCATGTGTCTCTCACTTTTTAAAAGCCAAATATAAAAGTAACTCAGATGTTAACTTCATTAACAAGATGATGTTAGCTGGGTAATAATACCCATTCATTAATTAATTAATACCCATTAAAATCACTATCAGGGATAGGGTATCATTTGCCCCGAGGCAAATTAATATCCTGTGAAAATTAGAACCCTCATCTACTTTGACCTTGGTAATGATGAGTTCACCTTGACAATGAGTTTACCTTTTCAACAGAACCTTGTATTTTGTAAGAGGGATTCAGTAGGGCCTTACCAGACTTCTGCAGGATATATGCTCTGCATAACTGTAATACATAACAGTTTACATGGAATGCATAAGAAAAGTCCAATCAAAGTGCTGGGGGATCTTTGAGAGGGAAGAAAGACATATCTTTTCCAACTAAGATTAAGGAAGGCTATAAGCAGGAGATGATTCCTCCTGGTGGTCAGTGCTTTTTCCATCCTCAAACTGTGTATGCACTTATCTGTTTCTGTGATATATTCCCTCAGTAAAATATAAGCTCCTTTAGGGCAGAGATTGTTTTTTTTTTTTTTCATTTGTGTATGTGTGTATTCCGAGCTCCTTTTCTAGTGTCTTGCACAAAGTTTGGGCTGAATAAGTACTTGTTCATTAGGAATTGATCAATGCCATTTGAGCTTATTCTTGAGGCATTTATAGGGGGAGGGCATTCCAGGCATACATAATGGCAGAGGTACACAGGTAGAAGAACATAGAGTATGCACAAAAAAACAAAAACAAAAACAGTTGCACCTCTAATTTGATGGGAGTGTAAAGTATATGGGGGAAAGTGTCAGATATGAAATAAATCTGGAAAATTGGGTTGTGTCAAACAATGGAACATCTTGAAGACATTGAATGGTTTTAAATAGAGGAATGGCATGATCAGACCTGTGCACAAGGAAATTTATTCTGGCAGCAGTGTGAGGTATAGATTGAAAGGAGAAGAAAGAGGAAGTAGGAAGATCTGTTTGGAAGAAATAGTCCAGGAAGGATGCAACAATGACCTGTACTCTTTTGGCAATGGAAATAGAAAGGAGGGAACAGGTGTGAGAGATATTGTGGAAGTAGAGCCAGGAGGATTTGGCAACTGATTAGATGTGGGAGGTGAGGAAGAAGGAAGAACCCAAGATAAGACAAAGCTTTCAACTACAGATGTTTGATAGTGTAATTGACAGAAATAGGGAAATCAAAAAGAGAGAGAGGTTTTGAGTAAAAAAAGAAGTTCACTCTTGGCCATATTAAATTTGAGGGGTTAGTTAAGCATACAGGCAGCTTTATCTAGTAAGCAGCTGGAGATATGAGTCTTGAGCTCAGCGGAGTGATCTGAGAAACATACACATTTCAGCATAAGGGTCATCTGTGTAGAGGTAGTAGTAGAAACTGTGGGAGTAGAAAAGATTGGCAAGGGAGAATTTAAACAGAGAAGATAAGATCAGGGATCATAGAACCATAAAGAACCTCTGTTAGTACAGTGACAAAGACAAAACAGGAATACTGTAGGGGTGGGAAAAGAGTACATGTTGACTTCTTGGAACTGGAGGATTGTTCTATATATGTGAAGCTAGTGCATTTTAATGGCAGATGTAATAGAACTCTTGTCGAGGAGTGTGAAACTGGTCTCTTAAAATTCTGCCAATACAGAACCATAAAAGAGAGGAGAGACAGACAGACACAGAGATGAAGACAGAGCAAAATCAAGGACAATAATGTTGTTGTTGAGTTGTATCCAATCCTTCATGACGCCATGGACCATAGTACACCAGTACTGACTGTGGGGTTTTCCTGGTGAAGATAAAGGAATAGTTTGCCATTTTCTTCTCCAGTGGATTAAGGCAAACAGAGGTTAAGTGACTTGCCCAGGGTCACACAGCTAGTAAGTGTCTGAGGCTGCATTTGAACTCAGGTCTTCCTGATTCCAGGCACAGCGCTCTATTCACTGAGCCATCTAGCTGCCTCCTAGTGAGATAGTAGGTGCTTAATAAATGTTTGCTGACTTGAGAGACAATGAGAGTGAAACAAACAGAGAGAGACAGAAACAGAGAAAGAACTCTTCGCACAGTGAAGTCAATGTTGATAGAGAGGTAACCAGGGCTTAACCTATAGACTTTTACTTCAAGGAATCTGGTAATGAAGAGAGAGAGAGGAAATTATCCCTTAAGAGTACAGAAGGATTTAAGGAAGCCTTTTCTATGGTTTAGGAGGCATGAACCCATTGTAGACAAAAGGGAGAATGCTAGCAGGGGAGATAGATAAAAAGAAAGAAAGAAGGGAAGGAATGAATGAAAGAAGGAAGGAAGAGAAAGAAAGAAACAACAAAGAGAAAGAAACAAAGAGAGGGAAGGAGAAATATAGATGATAAGATAACAATTAAGTATATCGTATTGCTAGGTAACGTCCTAAGTAATGGATATACAAATACAAATAAGCTGTTCTAACTGAGGAAAACAACATGTAGAAGGGTACTGGATGCAGTGGATAGAGCGCAGGCCCTGAATTCAGGAGTACCCAAGTTCAAATCTGGCCTCAGACACATAACACTTACTAGCTGTGTGACCCTGGGCAAGTCACTTAACCCCATTGCCTAGCCAACAAAAAAAGAAGAAAAAGAAGAAGAAAGGTACTGGAAGATGGAGAGGGATAAGGAACTCTGTGATGGAGGCATGGTGAGGATATGGTAGGGGACTTCATGGGGAGGCCTGAGCCCCAGCAAATTGGTCAAAAGCTCACTTATCAGAGCTGAGAGACCCAGGGGTAGAATCTTAGGTTCTGGTTGGGAAAGAATGATGATGATGGCTAGATGATGAAGGGATGACCCAGAAATGGCATAGATTAGCAGTGGTTGACAAGGTTCAAGCCTCTTATTTTTCCCTGGCATATCTTTAATTTTTCAACTTCAGGGAGAATCTATGGTAAAGATCTTCTTCCTTCAGAATGAAGCAGGATGTTGAGGAGTTTTCTTGCTCTAGAAGGGAAAATTAATGTTATTATTGTTATTTTTGTGAGAAAGGCACTAGTCTGAACAATTGAATTCAGGAACTCTTGATCTCTTAAGAATGTTGAAACTCACATGGAAAATCCATTTTCAGGAACTCTAATCTCTGAAAAGTGCTCAGAAAAGGAAACAGAAAAGTAGAGGATGGTAACCAGAAACTAGAGTTCTAGGAACTTCCCTTTCAGGCTTTCCATGTGGGTGTCTTAAGGTTGCCATTACTGCTCCTGGGAGGTATGGGATAAGAGAGAAATCTTTCTTTACCCCTACTCAATCCCAGCTGTTCTCTGATCTAGAAGTTTAAGAGAGGGAAAGCAGGAAAAGAAGGGATTAAAAATGTGCTGAGTGTTAGGAGTGATTGGATACCCAGCAGCTTAGGAAAAATATTAGAGGTTTGGAACATCCCAGGGGAATGAGCTGGAGAATCTATTATTGATGAAATGTTCATCAAGCAGCCATGAGGCACCAGCTGAAGTTATAAATCATAAATTTAT